TCCATGGCAGGAGGCACCCTGCGGCATGCCTACCCCCAGCACAGACCTCTGCAAGAATCCTGGGTAGCAATCCCTCCCAGTCTGCTTGGCTGCAGTTTACTTGAGGTTCCACTGATTTATTCTTTTGTCCAAAAGGAAAAAAAAAGGAAGGGGAAAAAAAAAAATTAGCTCAGTCACTCTGTGTTTTCTCTGAAACTTCTGACCAATTCCAGTCTTCAGGGCTAAGTGCCATGAACTAGAGCAAATGAGACAAGTATTCCTGTAGGTCTTCCTATCCCCTTGGCAGCCCAGGTGAGCAACTACTCCAGCCGGCCAGGGGCTATTTTCAGCCACTGGTTCTCCCCAGTGACCCCCTGGGACCCCCAGCTGCACCCTGCGCACCTGCACACACACTGCCTTTCAGCATTGGCAGCAGTGGAGGTTGAAAACAGAAATTCGCACGCCGCTGCTGGCAGGGAAGAGTCGTGCGTTCGCACTCTCCGGCACTTTATTGCTGGTTTAGGGAAGGCAGCATACCCAGTGCTGCCGCGCCGTGCAGGTGAACTGGATTCACTGATTCCCAGACAAGGCTTCTTTCCATAAGTGGATCTCACCGCTGATGGAAATAGCAGCAGATGTAGCAATCTGCTGCCGTTCTGCCTGAGCGCTCGTCATCCCGTCTCCCGCAGCCTCAGCCTGTGGGAAGGAGCTCCCTCGGTTGCCTGTCTACAAGTGCACCCATCTGCTCGAAATTGGGCTTCCCAAATTTGCAACAGAGCCAAATCCATATCATTTTGAAATAATCCCAGGCTTTCATGTTTAAAATTAAAACTGTGAGGGGAAGAGAGCATCCAACCTCCCTACCAGAGCTGGGCTCCCAGAGGTTGCTTTAAGAGCTGTGTTTCAGTGCTGGATTCAGCCCAAGGATTTCTTTAGACAGCACAGGGTCTTTTCAGAAGGTATTTCTTGCTGCGGAATAATATAATGGGCCCTTAATCAGTGCACATGACAAGGCTATTTATCATTTGTGAGCCAAATGCGAAAAGAATTGTGCTTTTGTTTCGCTTTTTCTCCTACCTCCTTCAGAGATCCCTTTTCCACCACTTTCACATGTGATCTCCACAATCTCTTCCCTTAGGAAATGTGTGTGTGGGGATAAGTGCTCATGACAGCTCCACATCTGCACCTCACATAAGATGTTCTCAGCTTCCTTCCCATTACTGTCTAGAGACCACATCGCAGAGATGTGTTTTCAAGAAGCCAAATCTTTTAACTGATTTTTAAATCCCATCTAAAGCTTCTGAATTCCCCTTGGAAAATACATCCACGCAGGGCAAGCACTGGGAATGCTTTGTCCCATGGCTTGACTTACTCTGCTCCAGCTTTTGCACAGCAGCCCACACATGAATAAGGAAGTTGGCAAAAACCCTTTACAATTTGTAAGCATCTCACATCTACCTTAAGAAAATAATTATGTAAATTCTCTGCTCCCCTGGAGGGATTTTCTAAGAAAACTAAAGAGATGCAATACAAAAAAATGCCCGGGGCTGTCATTTTGCACCATAACTCCTCTTCTCTCTGCTGTTGCCTGCCCCGCTCCCCTGCCAGTCTGGTAACTCTGCTTTGCTCCTACTGCTTCAAATAGTCACTGGCCAGCATTTAGATAGCTTGGCAAATGGGCTACCCACAAACTTCTCCTGGATAAATGCACCGAGGTGGACTACGGCAGAACGTAGCAGCACAGGGCCTGCAGGTCAGCTGCAGCTGATCATTGACAGTTGAACCGAGTACCCAAAAAAGTGAAGCCGGATACCTAGAATGAAGACCTTTAATAAGCAGGATAGCGTCTTGCCTGTATCATCACGTTGTGATCACCCAAAGAAACTGCTTATAACAATGCTAGGCAGAAAAACGTTGATCTGGAAATGGGATTTTTAAGTGGAGGGTGTCCCTGTAATCAGGCATATATCAAAACTCTT